CAATATTTTAGCATATATATATATATATATATATATATATATATATATATAATATATTATATTGTAATAATTAATTTATATATTTGTAATTATGATTATGTATTTGTAATTTTAATTACAGTAATGTCTCCCTTACTGACGCTCGGATTGTCCACTGAAATGGATAATTTGGCTCGAATAATCGTATCTCTTCTTCCCAAATTGTCCACTTTTGTAGTCAATCTGGGCGTCAATTAGAGAGACATTACTGTATGTGTTTATAATATATATTTGTAATTATAATTATGTATTTATAACTTATATATTTGTGATTACAATTATGTATTTATAATTTAGATATTTACAATTATAATTATCTATTGATAATTTATATATTTGCAATTATAATTATACATTTATAATTTATATATTTATAATAATAATTAATATATTATATCGATATATAATATGTTCTATATTAGTAGATATATATATATATATATATTAGTAGTAATATATTATATATATAGATACAGATATATTACTAGATGTATATGACAATCGGTAGCTATAAAAACGTGCACAATTCGAGCGTCGATTAGGGAGAATTTACTGTAATTTGTGCGTCGCGTAGAGAATCGTTTAAAGTGTTGCTCGAAATGCTTTTGGAAACGATTGGGCCAGGCAGGTGGGGCTCGTTATGCAATGCCTGAATTTTCTATGTAGGCCAGCAAAGCGATGAATTTACGTGGATAAAGAGTTACGAAACACTCGATTACGCTGTACATATATATATATTCTGTTTTGCAAAATACGAGACCTATCTGATGCAATTAAGCCATAACCATGAGCTTGGCTTCGTCGTTTCTCTAACGAGACAAAAGAACGACCGCGTCACGAAACGATGAGAAACCTGTAATAATAAATAATAAAACGAAAGATTTCTAGAATTCGAATTTCGACGGAATTTCCGAGATTTTAATTATCTTGTCCGGCTGTGCCGTGCATTTCGCCGACTTTGCAATCGGTTCACGGCATTGTTGCGTTACGCAAGACGTTAACAACGACTCGATAGTGCTTCGCATAGATTAGGATACGCGGGGACAAAAAACAAATCGATGCGACAGTATCAGAGAGCTTCAATTATGCGGCGAGGAAAGTGCATCGGTCAGAACGGTTGTTTCGGCGGCCGGAAACAGCGGAAATCCAGCAGCCATCGTTCCCATCGACTGTGTCGAACGTCGACCGTTTTGGTCGCTGATCCCACTTCGGTTACGCGCTCTAATTATCGCAAATAATTCCGTCCGAATTGTACGCGGAACGTGCACCGCAACGAAAAAAATTCCAAAGATCGCTCCAGACAAAGACGATCGCTCGTCCGCGTGCAAAAAGTTTCATTGTCCCGTCTCGGCGGCGTGGTCTTTCTTTTTGCACAGTGAACGCCCGAAGATCGTACAGTAATGTCCCTCTAATTGACGCTCAGATTGTCCACAGAAATGGACAATTTGGGAAGAGGAGACGCGATTAACCCCTTGACGTATTTTGACGTGTCCGACGCGTCATGAAAATTTCTGACAATAACTAATTGAGTATAGATGTTATTCTGTCCTTTGAAATTGGAATAAAATTCTAATCTCTTGTCATCAATATTCAAACATTCGAGTAAATTTAGGCACACAATAAGCATCAATTTTCTTTCCCTTCTAAAAAAATTATTGCAATCGAAAAATGTCTAATTACAGTAACTGCGACGAAGACGGTATGTCAAAGGGTTAATTTGAGAGTCTCGCGCCTCGTTTTTATAATTATCGATTCTTAACAACTATAAAAACGAGACGCAAGGCTCGAATAATCGTGTCCCCTCTTCTCAAATTGTCTTGTGCACAATCTGAGCGTCAGTAAGGGAGACATTACTGTATGGTAANATATATATATATATATATATATATATATATATATATAATATATTATATTGTAATAATTAATTTATATATTTGTAATTATGATTATGTATTTGTAATTTTAATTACAGTAATGTCTCCCTTACTGACGCTCGGATTGTCCACTGAAATGGATAATTTGGCTCGAATAATCGTATCTCTTCTTCCCAAATTGTCCACTTTTGTAGTCAATCTGGGCGTCAATTAGAGAGACATTACTGTATGTGTTTATAATATATATTTGTAATTATAATTATGTATTTATAACTTATATATTTGTGATTACAATTATGTATTTATAATTTAGATATTTACAATTATAATTATCTATTGATAATTTATATATTTGCAATTATAATTATACATTTATAATTTATATATTTATAATAATAATTAATATATTATATCGATATATAATATGTTCTATATTAGTAGATATATATATATATATATATTAGTAGTAATATATTATATATATAGATACAGATATATTACTAGATGTATATGACAATCGGTAGCTATAAAAACGTGCACAATTCGAGCGTCGATTAGGGAGAATTTACTGTAATTTGTGCGTCGCGTAGAGAATCGTTTAAAGTGTTGCTCGAAATGCTTTTGGAAACGATTGGGCCAGGCAGGTGGGGCTCGTTATGCAATGCCTGAATTTTCTATGTAGGCCAGCAAAGCGATGAATTTACGTGGATAAAGAGTTACGAAACACTCGATTACGCTGTACATATATATATATTCTGTTTTGCAAAATACGAGACCTATCTGATGCAATTAAGCCATAACCATGAGCTTGGCTTCGTCGTTTCTCTAACGAGACAAAAGAACGACCGCGTCACGAAACGATGAGAAACCTGTAATAATAAATAATAAAACGAAAGATTTCTAGAATTCGAATTTCGACGGAATTTCCGAGATTTTAATTATCTTGTCCGGCTGTGCCGTGCATTTCGCCGACTTTGCAATCGGTTCACGGCATTGTTGCGTTACGCAAGACGTTAACAACGACTCGATAGTGCTTCGCATAGATTAGGATACGCGGGGACAAAAAACAAATCGATGCGACAGTATCAGAGAGCTTCAATTATGCGGCGAGGAAAGTGCATCGGTCAGAACGGTTGTTTCGGCGGCCGGAAACAGCGGAAATCCAGCAGCCATCGTTCCCATCGACTGTGTCGAACGTCGACCGTTTTGGTCGCTGATCCCACTTCGGTTACGCGCTCTAATTATCGCAAATAATTCCGTCCGAATTGTACGCGGAACGTGCACCGCAACGAAAAAAATTCCAAAGATCGCTCCAGACAAAGACGATCGCTCGTCCGCGTGCAAAAAGTTTCATTGTCCCGTCTCGGCGGCGTGGTCTTTCTTTTTGCACAGTGAACGCCCGAAGATCGTACAGTAATGTCCCTCTAATTGACGCTCAGATTGTCCACAGAAATGGACAATTTGGGAAGAGGAGACGCGATTAACCCCTTGACGTATTTTGACGTGTCCGACGCGTCATGAAAATTTCTGACAATAACTAATTGAGTATAGATGTTATTCTGTCCTTTGAAATTGGAATAAAATTCTAATCTCTTGTCATCAATATTCAAACATTCGAGTAAATTTAGGCACACAATAAGCATCAATTTTCTTTCCCTTCTAAAAAAATTATTGCAATCGAAAAATGTCTAATTACAGTAACTGCGACGAAGACGGTATGTCAAAGGGTTAATTTGAGAGTCTCGCGCCTCGTTTTTATAATTATCGATTCTTAACAACTATAAAAACGAGACGCAAGGCTCGAATAATCGTGTCCCCTCTTCTCAAATTGTCTTGTGCACAATCTGAGCGTCAGTAAGGGAGACATTACTGTATGGTAATGTCTCTCTAATTGACGCACAGATTGTCCA